GGGGCGTGAGCGTGGCCGGCGGCTGGAGGACAGAAGGCGTGAAGACGGAGACTGGCATTTCCCCTTATGTGTACAAGTACCAACCAATTCCAGTGAGGTCAGCTTTCAAACATTAATCCAAAGAAAGCGGTGCCCAGAGCCGGGCCAGTTCTAGCACCGCTTTTCCTCGAAGTGTCTGGCACTTCCCTTTCTTGTCAGCCACTCGGCACTTGACGTAGTCACTTGATTTAAATTGTCCATAAACCACGTACTGTATAATAATACCTCCTTCCTAACCAACCCGCAGGGGTATTAGGACAATTAATTAGATGGTATTTAAACGATAGTCCTTGTTGCTTGAGAGAAAAGCTATATAAATTCAAAGGTGTTATTGCTCTTGATGTACTATTTGACATCATTCTCCCTCGTACTTTCCTGACACGTGGAGAGTGTGTTGTTGGACACCCGAAAAGCCATCATGGAGATTTCCTCTCTGGGTTGGAAAGCTAGACTGACCAGATGGTCTTCAAAGTGCATGTTTACTCTAAATTCTATGTTTTTACTAAAGAGGAAATGGAATGATACTTAGGTGAGAGAGTCATCTCCATACTGCAAGTTTTGGTAAACTTACAGAAACAAATAGAAAAGTTTTATCTCACGCACGTAACCCTACTTTACAGTTTTTGCACTGTTCCACCCTATGGTTGAAACTTCTTCTTTTAAGTCGGAAGTGGCGACTTGCTCTCTCTCTCTCTCTCTCTCTCTCTTTCTATTTCCGTGTGGCTGGGAATGGTGGTCCGAAGTTGGGGGACGCCAGCCTTCACTGGACTCCCAAGCCCGCGGTTCCTTTGGCACTACCTGCCTTGTGGCGCCACCTTCTGGGCTGTGCATGGTTGCGGCGGGCCCAGGAGACGGTCTAATCGCGCCGAGGCGCCAGTCTCTGAAACCCCACAAAAGAACAAAACAGTAATTAAAAGCCACAAAATTGTGCTAGTGCGCGCCATCTGAAGCACCCCCTTCCTAAAGACATAACGTGTAGCTGAAAGAACTTGTTACAACAACTGTCTAATGGAAAACAAGTTGATACTTTGAAAAATATGATCTTTGGTCGTCTTCCCCAGAAAAAGCAAATGTGTAATTAAAACTACAGCAGCCACACAGCTCAGCCTCCGCGGAATAATGAGGAAGGTAATCCGCCTTCAAATCTGCCTGGATTTCGTTCCCAGCCTTCCTTCTGGTTCATGGAGAAGGGTGAGCTGCTTAGAAGGGCGTTGGGAGGAGGGGCTTGCTTACCACCACAGGATCACACCGCCTCAGCGCTGCACACAGCCTGCTGCCCTGGGGCCCCAGAAACAAAATTAAGCTCTAGATACTGAGTCAGATTGCCTTTTGGAGTCTGGGCTCCAAATTCCAAGTCTTTCTGTCCCCACAGTGGAAGTTGCTTTGACCAAATATAGAAACTACCAGAAAATGAAATCTAAAAGATCCATTAGCAGTCCTCTCGCCTTCTCCTTTGTTCTCACCCAAGCATGTCCTCCAGACTTTTTTGCGATGTAAATTTATTGCATTTTATTATCTATGTGAACCTCCATTAACAGCCTAAAGTGCAGGGCAGCTGAAATCCAAAAATGGCATCTTCCTGCTCTGAGAGGCATGCTTTCCTGCCTCGACATAGTAGCTCTGGGAACCTGCATGTTCTGAATCTCTGTGGGTTCCTTCTAAAACTCAAAGATACTGGGGTTGGGGGGGTTGTTGTATGGGAGCCTCCCATTTCCACCTTTCCAGGACCAGACCAGTCCTGCTCTCATGCTGACACACAGGAATGAGCTGTACAGAGAGTGGATGACCCTCAAGGCTCTGCCCTCTGCTGCCCTGGCATCGCCCAGCCACACGCTCATGTCTCCTTTGCCTTCAGCTCAAAGATTGTCTCAGATTTACCGTCTTTATGGGTCCCTTGCTCTACCTCTCTCTCCATCATCTCCCCCATGAACTTGAGGGTCTCAGTCAGCCACTTCCCTCCCACCCACTGTGCCAGGCACTGTGCCAGGTGCTGCTAAATTCTGTCCTCCAGTAGCTTACAGTCAAGTGGAAAAAGCCAATATATTGCCATAAATGAATAATAATGGGTAGCATTTAGTTATTGAGAGTTTACTGAACACCAGGAGTTGTGTCAAGCCCTTTGCCTTCCTTATCTCACTGACCCCTGGATCCTATGTGGTGGGTACAAAATTATTCATATTGAGGCAACCAAGGCTTAGCGAGACCAAATCAGTTGCTTTAAGTTCAGAGACAGGACTGGAACTCAGGTCTGGGCGACAGAAGCAAGGCCACTGCAGATCCAGGCTGGGGAATCGCTGTAGAAGCTGCTCCACACCCACCTCCACCTGGTTAGGTGTGTGTGTGTGTGGGGGGGTGGGGTGGGAGGGGAGGACTGGGTGTGGGTAGCACAGGGGTCAAGTGCAAAGGGACACTGACAGTCTGAAGTCTAGCGTGCCCCTCTGGCCCCAAAAGTGGACTAGAGGAGATATTTCTCCTCCTGGAGACCAGCAGACCCGCAGGAGCCTGTCGCAGGAGGGATCCCCAGACCGACCATGGAAAGATGCAGAACAGTCTTGAGGGTCATGGAGTGGTGGGGAGGCAGGCACCCCTGGGCCTGCAGGCGAACCCAAGTTTGAGAGGGATGTTTTGTGCCCACTGCAGATTAGCTGTGCTGCCTGCTGGAGTGTGAACTAAACCCAAAGGGCTTTGGGAAAATGGGCACACACTCAACAGTCACAGCCAGGACCCTTCAGCGGTTGGGTCAGGGCATTGGGTTGTCAGTTCAAACGGAACCAATAATATCAATCTACAACTTAGCTTTGTAATAACATGGGCAAGAAGAACACAGCTGAGGACTGAGAAATAAGCAAAAAGAATGTCTTTAAAAAAAAATCTTGAAATGGTCCAAAATAACATCTCAAAGTCCTCTTAAGCTTGTATACTCTCCTCAAAGGAAAGCCATTTGAACCCTTTTAGGGGGAAGTTTCCGGTTTTATTCTGTTTTCCTCTTTTAAATTATTTCATTAACTAGAGGCCTGATGCATGAAATTCGTGCAAGAGTAGGCCTTCCTTCTCCCCGGCTGCCGGCACCGGCTTCCCTCTGGCACCCGGGATCCCAACTTCCCTCACAGCTCCGGCTTTGGACATCAGGTCTAATTAGCATATTACACTTTTATTATTATAGATAGTACTTCTTGCCTTTGTACTGTCTTTACCTTGGCTCATCCCGTTAGCTTAAGTACTGTGGATCCGAAAGAGACTGTAGTAGGGAGTGGGCTGATCATCTCATGACAACTCCTGAACATAATAAGCATGTGCCCAAGGCAGGAGTAACACTGACATGGAGGGGAGGGCCCACGTGGCAGGGTGACAAAATCTCTGCAACCCAGAACCGTTAAAAGGAAACACATATGATTTGGCTTAGACCTGCCAGAACCTCAGTAATGATCATTTTAAAACTTACGTTCCTAACAATAACAACCAGCTGTGTTAACCTATTTCTATTCGTGGACTGAATGCACCTAGAAATCAAATGGCTTGACTTGTATGTTCGGCTCCCAATTTAATCTCTGGTTTTCACAGATAAAAGATGTTCTGACTTTTTCTGCAATTTGCTGACAAAGTCATCACACTCTGACTCCAAGCGCATATTAGTTACAGCAGCTAAGTTGCTATATTTTTTTTAAAAAAATAGATACCAGCCCGGCCAGTGGTTGAACATCAACCTGTGATTCCTGGTCAGGGCACATGCCTGGGTTGCCGGCTCAATTCCCTGTGAGGGGCGTACAGGAGGCAGCCAATCAATGATCCTCTCTCATCATTGATTTCTATCTCTCCCTTCCTCTCTGGAATCATCTCTGAAGGTCTCATCCCGGTTCTCTTGTTCTCTTCTACCTAGAAAACAAGAGACTGTGTGTGATGTAAGAGAAAAGGAGAGACAGAGAAAGGAAAGCAGAAGTTACTGCGTTTGGAGAATCCAGTAAAGACTTGAGGTACTGATTCTGATAATGCAGAGACAAATCTGGGTTTGACCAAATTATCTGATTACCACGTCACAACATCCAAGCGATTTCCTCACTTTGGTCTCAAGTCAGGGAAACAGTATCATAGAAACTGACATTTTGTCCACAGTTCAGAGCAGACTGATGGCACTCTTTATAGTGCTCTGAGAGGAGTTAAGGGGAAACTCAGAGCGAGTTTGGGGGAATAGAGGTGCCTCCTTTCTGCCAAACTACCTCCTCTGCCTCAGGGCAACTTCCTTCCTCTTTTCTGCTTTCTGTTCTCTCTCTCAGCCCAGGCATTCTTTTAATCTTCAGGAACTTAGAGAAGGATGGGGAAGGAGGGGAGCTCAGTGTCTCTGGGCAAGAAGAACACAGC